CCCTAAACCCAAACCCCTAAACACCTAACCACCCTAAACCCTAAACCCAAACCCCTAAACCCTAAACCCTAAACCCTAAACCCTAAACCCTAACCCCTAAACACCTAACCACCCTAAACCCTAAACCCGAACCCCTAAACCCTAAACCCTAAACCCTAAACCCTAAACCCTAAACCCTAAACGTCGGCCGCGGCTCTCGACTGTCAGGTCCTGAATCTTCCGGTCGCCTCGGGCTTCGTCGTTTTCTCAGGTGGGGAGTTTAGGGTATGTAGGGGTTTAGGGGTTTAGGGGTTTAGGGGTTTAGGGTTTAGGGTTTAGGTTATGTAGGGGTTTAGGGGTTTAGGGGTTTAGGGTTTAGGGTTTAGGCTTTAGGGTTTAGGGTATGTAGGGGTTTAGGGGTTTAGGGTTTAGGGTTTAGGCTTTAGGGTTTAGGGTTTAGGGTGTGAATTCGGCAGGTTTGGGTGCTGCGGTTGCATTTTTCGGGGGTGGGTTGTGGTGTTTACCGGCCATGGCGGGGTCCGACAGCGATCCTCTAAACCCCCATGATTCGATAAAGCCTCTTCGAAGGTTTAGGGTTTAGGGCTTCGGATTTCGAGTTAGGGTTTAGGGTTTAGGGTTTAGGGTTTAGGGTTTAGGTTTCAGGTTGAGGCATCAAAGGCCTTTAGTATTTCCGGATCCCTATTACAACCCTTCATTGGAGAGCAAGGCATCAGCTAGTTTGTGGCAAACCCTAAACCCTAAACCCCCTTAAACCCTAAATCCCTAAACCCTAAACCCAAAAACCCTAAATCCCTAAACCCTAAACCCATAAACCCTAAACCCATAAACCCTAAACCCCAAACCCCCAAACCCAAGACCTTCTACTCCAAACCCCAGACCTGCTACTCCAAACCCTGGCCCTAAAGACGAGGAGTTAGGATTAGGGGGACCCTTGCAAATATAGGGTTAGGGTTTTGGGTTTAGGGTTTAGGGTTTAGGGCTTAGGGTTGGGAGGGTCCCCTTTAAGAGAGCCGCAAGTAGGGTTAAGAAGGGTCCCGTGTAAGGGGTCTCCCTAATACTACCACTGCACCTTAGAGCCTGCCACTCCAAGCCGTCGGTTGGCCATAAGGCTTGTAACATAAATACAGGTTTTAGGGGTTAGGGGCATGCAAAATTTGAAGGGTTTTGGGGTGATCTAGGTCCCACCCCAGCATTCGGGTTTTCTGAGGGTTTGGGGTCTAAGGGCTTTTCAATGCCGAGTCGCCGTGGTTCTTCAGCAAGTCTGCTTTCAAGGCGGTCTTCTCCTTCGCTAGCTTGGCAATCTTGGCCTCCAAACGCGCAGGTGGGGAAGGAGGTCTCGGGTTCGAGGGTTTAGGGTCTTTTTTTGAGGGTCTAGGGTCTAGGGTTTAGGGTTTAGGGTTTAGGGTTTAGGGTTTAGGGTTCGAGGGTTAAGGGAATGTTTGGGGTTTAGGGTTTCGGGGACTGGTCTTATATGAATTCTTAAATGGCGTTCCTCAACCTCTGTGGTACTCTGTTGATAGGCCCTTAAACAGAAGATCCTGCTGTTTATGCTTCTGTTTAAGGGTCCCTTATTTTCTGACAATTTCATGTGGAACCCTGTTGCGTCTTCCCACATTCCGGCGCTCTGGAGCTTCTTGTGAATAGTCGTCTACATCTCAATGATCCCTCAGCCGTTCTGAGTCTAAACCCTAAACCTCTCTTTCATACAAAGTTGAGCCTTCATGGCTTGCGTCGGCAATGGCTTTTTCCTGCCTGTTTTCGCCGTTGCCGACGGAAAAGTCAAGACCTTCTGCCCGGCAATCGATTTTCACCATTGCTGACGAAAAACGGACTGTCCGCCATAAAGTCTGCATTTTTCGTCGACAATGGTGATTTCGGGCTTTTGTCACCATTGTCGGCGCAAAAACCAAGACCTTCTGTAGTAAACCATCGGCTTTTTCGTCGGCAATGGCGTTTTCGCCATTGCCGACGAAAAATCAAGATTTTCTGCCGTAACTCCTTTATTTTTTGGTCGGCAATGGCGATGGAGGCAAGGGGGCAGGCTGGAAACACAGGTTTAACGGGCCACGCTGAGGCTGTATCCTAGGGTTTAAGGGCTATTCTGGGTTGTACCATTACGTTTAAGGGCTATTCTGCGGGTGTAGCATTGTATCATAGGGTTCAACGCTGTCTCATAGGGTTTTTAGGCTTGTTTCTGCGGCTGCATTATAGGGTTTAAGAGTGCATCATAGGGTTTAAAATTCTGAAGGCTATTCTGGGGCTGTATCGTTTAAGGGCTCCTAAACCCTAAACCCCTAAACCCCTAAACCCCAAACCCTAAACCCTAAACCCTGAACCCTAAAACCTAAACCCAGGGCTATTCTTTCAAGGCGTCTCTGGGGCTGCACACCTTGGGTTTAGGGTTTAGGGTTTAGGGTGTGCGCCGTGGTCGATCGCGCCTCTTCACGGGCCAGCTACCTATGCTTCTTTCACGCTGCCCCTCCCCATT